AGGCGGCAAGTGGCCCGGGCCCCTGCGGCCAGGCCAGTGGAGTCCGCCTGCAGCTCGCTCACCAAGGCGGGCAGCAAATGCAGCCAGCTGGCCAGCGAACCGCAGTGCGGGAAGGTCGGGAAGCCCAAGCAGGTCCTCTCCCTGTCCCCATCCACCTCTCCGGACAGCATAGCCAGGCACCACTCTGCACTGCTGTCCCAGGATGACAGTGGCAGGGGCCCGTTGCCGCTCCTGCGCCCAGGGAAGTACGTGGCCATCGACTGTGAGATGGTGGGCACCGGCCCTCGGGGGAAGCTGAGCGAGCTGGCACGGTGCACCGTGGTGAACTACGAGGGGGATGTTGTCTATGACAAATACGTCCAGCCCGAGCTCCCCATCGTGGACTACCGGACGCGCTGGAGTGGGATCACGAAGCAACACATGAAGAATGCAATTCCTTTCAGGGCTGCTCAGGCAGAGGTGAAATGGGGAGATGTAAGCCCCGGGGGCAGGAGGGGTACGACCACGCAGCCCTGAGCTAGGCTTTGCTCCGTTCCCTGTTGGGATGACCGTGCCCCAACACCCTTTTACCAGGATTCAGACAAGTCCATAGCGAGTCCTGTGCCCACACCAGCACCTCCTTCTGGTCCATCTCATGGCGGGGATTTTTACTTATAAAAATGGTGCTGCTTAGCTTCTGTCTACTTCCAGTCTCTCAGGAGTCTCTCTCCTGCCAAAAATCTTAAACTGCTGCAAACAAACCGCAGGCAAACAGCAACAGCCCCTCCAGCAGGACTGTGTCCGTGGGAGGGAGTTAGAAATATTCAGTGAAGTCCTGTCATAAATGGTTCTTGTCACTTTGCAAAAAAGTTATCATTAAATTCATGTTTAATTAAAAGCAGTAATACCGTGCTTTTGTTTATTAAAAAACAAAAAAAATTGCATGTTATCTGCCAGCCACAAACTGGCTAAGAGGAGACCCATGCTGAGCTGCTCTGATGTACAGACACAAGCACAGGACCAGGAGCCCCCTAAGCCTTGTCTGAGGTTGGTTTGCTGTAGCTGAGCATCTGTGCCTTAAGGCTTTAACCAGTGCACTACGTGCCTGCCTTGTGCTGCTGTGGACTTAAGTAACACTGTGTAATGGGACCAGCTGATTACCTCTCAGTTCTGGGAACCTAAAAGATTAGAATCGAAGAAACTAAATTTAATGCAAAATGGTTTGTTTTATACGTAATCTGTGTTTCTTTTGCTGCACCGCTTGTCTAACCCCATCTGACGCTTCCAGATCCTGAAGATCTTGAAAGACAAGATTGTGGTAGGACACGCCATCCACAATGACTTCCAAGCCTTGAAATACTTCCATCCAAAAGACAGGACTCGAGACACCAGCCGGATTCCTTTGCTGAACCAGAAGGCAGGATTCCCTGTTAAAGTCAGTGCCTCTCTCAAGAGCTTGGCCAAGCACCTGCTCCACAAAAAGATCCAGGTGAGAGCACACCTCCACATGGGGACAGCAGATTGCATGGGTAGCAGGTTGCATAGGACTCAGCCTCCATAAGTGCTCTAGAAATCTTGAGACAGGGTGCAGGCCTCAGTTTTGCTGGGGGCCTCTAATCAGCCTGGCTCCTTCCATCCACGTGGGGTGCTATCCATGAGACAGAGACTGAGCTTATTCGTCCTATGCTCCTTCCATCTATAATCAAGTCGGGGAGATAAGCCTCTGCAGCTGAGCTGCCATTAAGCACCTCAGTAAAGCAGGGACAGGACCTGTGTCCTCCTGAAAGCAGTGATGAGAAATGCATACATCTGCTAGGCCTGTGTAAAGCTGGATCAGACCCTTGCTGTCTGTCAGATCCCCAGCACTTGTGCTTATGAGCAAGTAAACAGCGAGCTTGTAGGATTTTTGCCAACACCTTTCTAATGGGGCTTTTCCTCCTTTGCTCTCAGGTCGGCCACAAAGGGCATTCATCGGTGGAGGATGCGCAGACAACCATGGAGCTTTACAGACTGGTAGAGGTGCAGTGGGAGAAGGAGCTGGCCAGCAGCCTGCCCCCCAGGCCTCCCAGCCCCATTGCAGACAGCAGCACAGACAGCGACCAGTACATGGATGACCAGTACTGGCCCTCAGACCTGAACACAGATAGCCTATGAAGGGCGACAGCTTCTCCTCCGTGTGTTTTGAGACATCCTGGTGCCTTCAGCTATTAAAAGCAGAGGTGGCTGCTGGTGCCTGTGTGGTGGTCTTTGGGGTGCTTCCTTCCCCTAAGGCTTGTACCCCAAATGCTCTGCCCAGCAGTGGTGTCTCAGTACGGACGATGATGCGGTTGCTTCTGTCACCACCCAGCCAGTGCTGAGGGAAACACAGGTGGCAGTGCTGGGAAGTCAGACACCCCTGGCACTGCCAGTTCGGTGGGAGTATTTGGGGATGGAAAAACGGTTGCACTTTGGAACTCCTGTAGCTTTGGACCTGCCAGATCCCTCCCTGGCTTTGTTGTGATTTTTTTGACATCTGAGAATCCCCTTAGGAGGTGTGAAGTGTCTCTCGGGCAGAGGTGGTTGGGGGACCTCCGTGCTCCCAAGTTCTGCCTGATTACCCTTAGGCTTTCCAAAGGAAGTGCTGGGGAGGTTGTTCCCTTCCTTGCCTTTGGCCCCTGTGGCATGTAACCCCATCCTTCCCCCAGCCCAGGTCAGGTAGGACAGAGCACCCTGGCCTCTGGGACATGGTGGGCCACTGTGTACCCCTTCCCTCCTGAGCCAGCCTGTACCTCGGGGCACCGGCTGCGGCAGGCTGCAACCTTGGTGATGGTCAACCACAACCATCCTGTGGGAGGGAGAATGGGCAGATCCATGCTCTGTGGCCACAGCAGTTGGCTGCCTGCTGTCGGAGGCTGTCAGCCAGGGATCTTGGAGTCATACACCATGATCTCCTGCCTGTGCCCCCTCCCCATGGTTGCTTTCACTTGGGGAGGGATATGTTTAGTGTTGCTCTGGGTACCTCAGGGCGGCATCTCCCCAAAACACTGTCTGCAGCCTCTCGCTGTCACATGAGAGCCTTTCCACAGGAAAGTGTTGTAGCTGGGCTGTGTTGATTTGTCACTCAGTGCTCTGGGATGACCAGGGCCACAGCACCAGCTGGGAAGACCCCCTGTGAGCATGCGATGGCTGTGGTGGTGGGCTAGGACTGTCAGGGGACCTATATATGATGCCCTCTCAGAGGGCAGGAAGAGAAGCCCTCCATGGTGGTGGGCAAGTGACTAGTCTTGCTGCTAATTTCTTACCTCTTCCCTGAATCTGTAGTGTTGAACAGGACCTCGCTGTGACCCTGTGAAATGGTCAGAAGGAAAAGCAGTGTTTCCTTCTTCCTGAACATGCAGCCACGTGGGCCAATTATTTCAGAATTGTGGAAGAATTCAAGTTGGCAGGGATTTCTGGAAGTCATCTAGTCCATAATGTACATCACAGCCTTAGTACAGCAGTTTATTGCTGTCTTGCTGACACTGAAAAACTGCGGACCATCCAGGGCCAGTTAAATGACTAGTTTTCTTCCCACCTTCATTTCACAATGAAGGCCAAAAAAAAAAAAAAAGTCCAGGTTTAATCAGTGTCTAATTCCCCCCAAGACACAATAGGATGCACTGGATTTTAAACAGAGTATTCGTACATTTGTCAAATTGTGAATTAAAAATCATTACTGGAAAAACCTGTGTGTTGCTTGCATGATCAGATTGGGACATTCTCCAGGAGGGAGCAGGGTAAGGATGAGGTCTTTATGCCTTGTGCGTTCACTGGCTGCATCACGTGCTGTGCTCCAGTGGCCACAAACCTATACGCAGCCAGAAAAGATATTTTAGGTGTCTTGATTATGGTTGGAGTGAGCTGCATCCTCCCTCGTGCAGCAAGGCAATTCCCCAGCATTAGAGGAGAGTCCCATCGTGCCATCTGCTCTGGTGATTCTTGTGATTACCTGCTGCACTTCAAGGACAGCTCTGCAAAGCTGTTTGGCAAGAAATAGTGGCTGTGCTTAGCCAAAGCCAGTGCGGTCCGGCGCTACCAGTTGCTAATGAGCCCTATTCCGTAGGACAGTGGTGGTGGCTTTCCAATTGCTTTTTCCTCCAGGGTTGCTTTTGAGTTCTCTGTTGTGCAAAAGGATGTCCTTGTGTCCTCGATGAGATGCTGGTGGTGGTGTTGCTGTGTAGGTAGGGCCCTCCTGCCTTTTTGCAGCAGACAGAAGCTGCCTGTTGTGCAAGACTTGCAAGATGAGGGTTGCTTGGAGCAAGGGCATGTCATGAAGAGCAGTTTAAAGAAAGCCTGTTTCAAGAGAAGGTGTCCCACTGTGTCATCCGGCCCCTCCTGAGGCAAGGCTGTCATGGAGCCTGCTCCTGACTCACATGAGGACTTCCCCCCGCTAATGAGGATGAGCCTGTTACTAGAGCCACTGCTTCAGCACCTGCTTTGGAAGAGAAAATCTAGTCTGAGCTGATGTTTTTAAGAATGAAATTAAGTTGGCTGTTGCACTGTGGGGAGGCTGGCTCAGCCCTACTTCCCTGAAGTTGATCATTATATGAGTCACCTACATTTGGTATACTCTTAAAAAAATAATTTTTAAAAAGCCTGTTTCTAATGTGGCCAGTACTCCAAAGCCCTATCTCTGCCAGTACTCCCAACCTCAGGAAATGTTTTGTCTGAAGGCAAACCTACAGGTACTTGATAACTACATTCCCTGAGCACCAAAAGATGCACTTCACCAGAACGCAGAAGATGACCCAAGCAGGCAGTATGATTGTTAAAAATACCAGCCAGCATTTCCCCATCTCTGTTCACAGGACTTGCTCACCTGTATGGGCTCCGGGTGCTACAGGTCTGATAATATATCTGTGCAAAGCACCTCAGAGCGAGAGCCAGGTCAGCTCTGCAGGAGCCTCATACCGATGCAAAGCGTCACCCCTTTGTGCAGCACTCCCTAAGCCATCATATCCTTGCTGGCTATTTAGGGCATATAGCCCATGGCTCTTGGTGCTGGTGCCCCTCGGACCTGCAATGGCGAACCCAGCTGTTGCTGGAGAGAAGGGAGGTTGCTGGATGGGTGCTGGAGGACTACCAGCACTGCAGAGGCTTTCGGCAGCTTTGCCATGGCAAGGAGTGGGTAAGGTAGCCAGCATTAAAATGAAGTCCACGTCTCCCCGCAGCTAGGCTAGACAGGGTCAGAGGCTTTTCCCTGTGGGCAGTGGGAGGGAGAGTTCAGCCAGAGCCTTGGGAAGCGGCCAAGTCAGCCGAGTGACGCAGGCACACCTGACGCATAGATCAGTGCAATTACAAGATGCATCTTGCACTTCCCTTCTTAACTCTTCCTTGCCTGGCAGAAGCAGCCTGGAGACAGCCTAGAAATGCTCTGACATATATAGAACATGTCTAAACGGATCTGCCCTCCCGGTGACATGAGCGCAATGTTTCAACAGTTGTGCTGCTCCTTTTAAACCAAAAAATCAATAACCTGATTAGAAGGGATAAGAAACGTGGCTCCATAGCAAGGTCTTTCAAACCTGTTGGTGCCAGTCTGTGTCAAGCATGTTCCTGACCCAGCAAGGCCGTAAAGCATCGCCTGCTCCACCTGCTGTGCGTGCCTCAGAGTGCAGTTCAGCTGAGCACCTGCACAACTCCATGCAGCATCAACAGGTCCCTGTTAGGTACAGGAGGGACCTATGCCAGCAGCATGCTGCACGGAGCATGCGAGGTGGAGCATTTGTACCTGGACACCTGTAGGAGAAGGACAGCTGACATAAGTCTTTCTGCATTTGCTCCTCACTGCCCTTTCCATCTCTCCCAGAAACAGTGGCAGGAGAGAAGCACAGATGTGGGAAAGGTGAAAGGAACGCAGATACAGGAGAGCTGTAGGCACCAAGGTCCAAGAAGGCTGAGGAAATTTCCTGTCCCACTGACTAAGAAGAGAAAAGCCTGACCCCTTGCAGAAGCGAGTCACCATGAAACCTGCCTTAGGTCCTGCCTAAGTTGCCACTGAGAGAACACCATGCTCGTGCCTTGTGTGACTCAGCAGCCATCCAGCCTGGCCAAAACCCTTTGTTTATGGAGGGAAACGTCTTACTCTGGTGCTGACCTTTAGCTTTGAGATGTGAATGTCCATTTTGCCCCACATTGCCCTGAACAGGACACAGTGGAGTTTCCCCAAAAGCCATCTCCCCGCTGGTCGCCCTGCACAAAGGCAATCATTCAAGCCTGCCGTGACTTGGGTTATTTATCAGCCTCGGGCGGCTGCCAAATCTTCTCACGCTTTCATCTCGAATGAGATCCCAACCAAAAACATACAGAAGGAAAAGCACGTCGGAGAAAATGTGAGCCGCAACGTGTGGCTGTGCTGGCAGAGTGCCAAGTGGGCTGAGAGCCAGGCAACGCTGCGCCAAGGCCCTTCGGCTTCCCCGTCCTCGCCCGGCGTGCCGCTCTCACCAGCTGTGAGAGGCTTGGCGCTATCCAAAACGAGACCCCAGACCCCGGGGTGGGGGGAGGGACTCGCTTTTGCAGGCAGCGGCCACCCCTAGCAGGCAGTGGCACAGAGCGCCCCGCTGCTCCTGGACAACGTGCGCGTGTCCCTGGTTCACTGACGTTCGCATGCGAAGGCTTCGTTTTCCAGCGTGACGCAGGCATGCGACTCTCATCAGAGCGAAACATCCTCCCTTGCTGCACCGGGCTGGCATCCCTCCAGCCCTCCTTCACCTGATAACGCTGCTTCACCCTCAACTTCTGGCCCCATAAAGGCACAGTTCAAGACCCAGGTGTGTCCAGGATGAGGATGGGGAACAGCACAGAAAGAGGTGGAAGGACACAAGGCTTTATCAGCCTGTGACTCATTCTGCGTTGCAGTCAGCCACAGACAGGAGGAAAGAGTAATTAAGAAAAAAACAGAATCAGAAGAACACATCTAAAGTATCAACCATTAAAATGCTTTAGAAAGAACCACTTCCAAAAGTGTGCCTGGGCTGGGATGGATGAAATACTACATAGGATCAGCTCTAGAGCAAGGGACAGATTTTTCTAAGCGCTCCACCTTTGTATTTCGGGGCAGATTTTTCCCTCCGCTACGGTCCCTGAGGTTTTCCATGGCCTGCCTCCACAACCGCCGCTGAGCCCTTCTGGAAACGGCGTTTAACGCTTGCAGCGTAGTACAAGGGGCTGGGAAAAACCTCAGACTCCCTCTCAGAGCACGTGTTATGCAGAGCTTGGCCCCATCTCCACGACACTGATTTAAACTCCCTGTTGAAATGTTCCCTGTTCTGGGGACAAATTTGCTGTTGTCATGGCCTGTGGAGCTCACGCATCGTGCAAGTTTTGCTGCTGTGCCATCTTCTCCAGACCTTGGGGAAGCTGAGGAACAAACTGGGGGTCAGTCACAACTTACATCAGCTTTGAAAGGCTGGAAGAAAGCACGTTCTGCTCTCAAGCCCACAGTAACTCCCAAGGCACGGTTGCTGAGGAAGGAGGTTGGACAGGAGAATCCCGGAGGAGTCTCCCTTCAAGTCCTTTGTGAAAAGCTCTTCAAGAAAAAATAGCCAGGTGTGGGAGAAAAACCTCATGACAGGTGACAGGTGGTAGGTGGTGGTAGTGGTAACCTGCTACATGCTGATGAAGGTGAGTGTCCGTCAGCAGTGTTTGCTGTGAATAATATTAATGACAAATTTCATCCCTTTTCCACCTGGTGAACCATTTGAGAGCTAATCAGGATTTTCACAGATGTTTGTGAATATTCACCTAAATGTCAGGGCATTGCTACGGCTCAGAATAGTCATTATTTGCACTGTTTTATCACCGTCCTGGCGTGGTGGTGCTCCTGTTGGAAGGCTGAACATCCTCAAGCGGGTGGAGGAGAGTGGGAGCGGGTATTGGGCTGGCTCGGCGTTTACACTAAAAATCATGACAATTTGAGAATTCGCAAAATACTTGGCGGTTGTCTGCATGCCCCTGAATAATGATTAATAAAAGCCCATGAAGCCATCAATGGGAACTCAGGGCTTTTTTATCAGAGGAAAAACATTGTCAAATTAGTTTTTCAACCAGCTGCAAGAGCAGGTAACTGATAAGCTCGTCATTGGAGTGGATTTGAACCAATGGGAGCAGATGGGTGACAGCATTTACTTCTGTCTAGCAACAGCTTCTCCTTGAGCACCACACAACAATTCAAACTGCGACGTGCTTTCTCCTGCTTTTATTATGCTTCCTCCTTTACTCTCATCCTGCTAAAAGGGGGTTTTCATGGCGGACAGTCAGAAATTGAGTTCACAGTGGCTTGACCCCAATTTTCTGCATGGTTTTGGTGCCCCTTCCTCTCCCGCAGGACGAGAGCTGGCGGGAGCTAGCGCAAGCCCGAGGCGAGGAGCGGGTGGGCGTCCCCCCAGCCGTCTGTGCCAGGCGTGCTGCGCCTCCTCTCCCCCGCGCCGCCTCTTTTCCTCTGAGCGCGTCCTTCCTCCCTTCAGGCTGTTTTCCCCTCGCCACCCCAGGGCAGCAGCCGGGCATGGGTGTAGGATATCCTTCGGATTCTTGAAAATATTTAATAGTATAGCGAGCAGTTTTGACCCGAAGGCAGGAAACGCAGCTCCAGGGAACACCGGCTTCTCCCAGCCCTCCCGGTGAGTGTGCGGCTGTGGATTTGCTGTTGGGTAGATTTGCTGGCCCCCGTGGGACCGT